GTATTGCCATACCGTGACTTATGGTGAATTTTTATGCAGTGGAAAAACTAAAGCTTTGGCATTGAAAAGTGTAAATTACTCACTACACCTGAAGAGAATAAATCGAAAGTGTCTTTAAAATGTGAACTAAAATACATATTTCCGTAGCTGTCATAAGCACCATTATTAATATCCATCATCATCATCATCATCATCACCATCATCTTCATCATCACCCTCATTATCACCATCAGGCCTAAAATAAAAACTTGTTGTATTGCCCTGTGCCAAAACATGGGTCGGTCGGTCGGAAAGTTTTTTGTTTTTAAACTTTTTGTTTGTCGCCCTCTTTTAGCTGATATTTCTCAATTTTTAATGCTTTAATACATGTTCTTCAACGTCATCGTTACATTGATATCTTTTTAACCTCAAGTTTGCACAAGTGAGAATTTTGGTAAAATTTGATTTGATGCATTTACATCCCATTTAAACAAACAAAATACATATATTTTTATTCATTATATAAAAAAAAATATAAAAAACGATTAAAAAATAAATAAATTAAAATGCCGACCGTAGATTTTCAGATTTTTGGGTCGGTCGCAAAGGGCAATACAACAAGTTTTTTTAATTTTAGGCCTCATTGATATTATCATCACCATTATCCTCATCAATGCACTGCAAATCCATTGTGTTAAGTTGTTTAAAAAAATTGCACAACATTACTTTATACAACGAATTTGCAATGTAATATCATTATCATATCATCATCATCATTATCATCATCATCATCATCATTACCTTCGTTGTCAACAGTAACTCCATCAATAACAAATATCTCGACAGTAATTCTTTGTGCAAGCAACTTTTTTTTTTTTTGGGGGGGGGGGATATATTTTACCTTTCCATGCAAGTTTCAAGTTTTCATTCCATATTCAACAAGAATATACAAATTATGTGCAACAAACAAGTTAAAAACTACATTTTTAAAAGGATACAAAAGTAATTATACAAGTGTACGTGATATTTGTATTTGCATAACAAAAGACATTGTTGATATATTTCCTAAATTATGTTACCTTTATTTTACCTGAACCCCAATCCCCATGTGAGAGTTAATACCGTAAGTCAAGGGCGTTGACGTTTATGTATTGTCTGTCTCTATTGTCTTGTCACCATGGCATTTACAACCACAAACATAAACCTAACATGACGAAACTTAGTATGAACGAATTTGTGAAATTTTCAGACACTTTTCGCAGAATTGATCACAAAATTGTCATTCCTTTTCCGCCGCAATATTGGCGCCAAAATAAAATGACAGGCATGCATTATAATATGACATGATCAATAAATACCTGTAATAATACTAATAATAATAGCAGACTACTTCAAAGGTGTGTCGCGTTGTTTCACCTTATTCTCAACATCAAGGCCAATATTTTGGGATTAGAAGGATAATTCGGCTATCCTGTATACGTATACAAATTTGAAGTTTGATATACGGCAAATATTATTGAAACATCGCCGCCCAAACGAAAGGGACATTAGAGGCGCTATTTATAGCCGAAACTGAATAATATTTTGAATGAATTGTCCTTTTATAAAAATGGCAAAACCAATCAATTTTATCTACTGAACACAATCGCAAAGATTTTCGAGAAATCAACCATACGAGATTCCAAAAGCGTTGATTTATTGATTATTCTCATATCCTTTAAACGAGGTGTCTATGGGTGGTAACGTCAGCCACAAATGTCATTGGGTAGTCATTGTGCATGTGTGCGTTTTGTATATTTCATGTTTTCTTGAGAACGATCGATTTTGGAAGAAAAATATATGTTTCTGTCATTTTATCGTAGAGGGCGGTTTTTGGTATTTCGAGGCCACAAACAAAATATATGTATACATCATTCTAGTTATTGTCATCAATTGTGGCGTCGGATAACATTTAAGACTTTTAGCCAAACCCGCTGTTTTGATTTTGGTATAAGGAGGAAAGAATAGAAACAAATATTTGTTTGCAAAGTGATCTTCAATGACTACAAATGCAATATGGGAAAATTAATTTAAAAAAAAAAAAAAATGATAGTATTTCCATGAATCATCAAAATCTATACTTCAGATAATTATTTGAAAGTAAGAAAAAAAAATGAATAAAAAAATACACGTATAGTTCGTTAACCAGAAAGAAGCTTTTTCGAAAGCTTCGTGATTAAGCTTTCATTGCTTTTTTTTTTTAGTAGAAGTAATAGCGCAGTGAGTCCGCCCATTGGAGGAAGGGGGGGGGGCACTTTGTTAACATTAAAACGAATTTACAAGGCTATATAGGGTGCTGGATATGGACAATTTTATTCAACGGGCCTGGTGTTTTCTTCTTTTATGGTTTTTCACTTTCTTCCTTTCCCTTTCTCACTTTTCCACCCTTTTCTTTCTTTTTATTTGATTTTTCTCAGCTCAACTCGGGTTAAGCGCCCCTTTGTCCCCTGTAGCTATCGTGCACCACTGGGATATGGCATTATCTATTATTAACTTGACACGGTGTAAAAAGCACCATCTTTTAATGTCAAATAAGGTTCTGTGGGGGAGGGGGTGGGGTGGTAAATTAATTTGAGACGAATATCCTCCCCCTCTCCCACAAAAAATACGTTCGTAACCGTGGTTACGGTGAAGAATCTGAAAAGTTCTTTATTTAGCAGAACTAGTTATCATAACCGCTATGAGAAGGAAAGTAACTTTTAACTACCAAAATATTCACTTTTGCATGGTGTTATAAAACAAAAGGTACAGACAAGCAAATTAATCGAACAAACAAAATTAAAACCTTGTGGCAAAAAACGTTGCTTTAAAAAAAAAACGGCGTTTATAAGAAAGAAAGAAGGAAAGATGTGAAAAAGAAGATGAAAGAGGAAAAGCATGATAAAGATAATAAGGGGGAAGAAAAAGAAGAATATAAAAAGAAGAAAAAGAAGAAGAAGACGAATAAGGAAACAGGAGAAATAAAACAAAAGGGGAAGGAAGAACAAAGAACAAAGAACTGAAATGAGTCTCATGCCTAGACCAGTTCGATAAAAATGAAAATCACACCAGTCATTCTGCTAACTTTAAAAACGCTCTGATACCAACTGAAGTATTTGTATGCATATAGTTTGTATTTCAATCTGGTTCACTTTTGCGCGCCGCCACCGTCTATCATGACGAACCCCAGCAAAATATTTCGCAACCAAAATAATATTATGAGTAATACACCACTACTTTGCATAACACTTGCAAATATTGATTTGTTGCAAGTTCGTCGAAAACCGCGAAACAATATGAATATGAGAAAAGTGGGATCGAAGCGTTTATTTCATCCGCGAACTTCACAGATGTGTTTTCGATTTCGCACAGAAGTCCCCAACTCGCCGCAGAGCAATATTCTATTTATTTACAATGAATGATGACAATATTCGAAGTTTTGTGTATAAGTTTCAAAGAACGGGGACGGGCGCAATTTGAAACCCCGGTGGTGGCAGCTGGGGAGCGCTGCAACAGGCGGTGAAAAATAATCAGACATATCAGCCGAAGCATTGGGAAAGAAAGTACAGCCAGCTTACTCATATCACTAAAAGGTATACAGGAAATTGTAGAATGTGAATTTGTTAACTGCCGCAGACACAATTTGAGCCAGGGCAGTCCTTGTCTGGGTTATTTTAGCTACGGTGTCCCGTCCCTATGTGGTCACGCAACAATAACACCCCCGCACGGGAGTGGACGCGTCTGAAAGGATGAGATCATCGATTTCTCGTTGGCCATTGTTTGCATTTGAGGTTGGGAGAATTTACTTTTCAATAGCAACAAGTGCATAATACCGGCAAACCGCGATTTCTTTCCCCCATCCTTTTGAAAGGCGTTTGACTTCTTATTATCATTTTTTTTAAAAGCGAGTTTCACTTTGTTTTGTGTTTAGCATAACAGTGGAGAAACGATTTAAGCCTCGGCAATGAATGATGACGATATAATTTGCAAATACCGTGACCGATTACCTACGGAACTAATTGGAGTTCATTATCTCTGTAGCATGAGGAAAGGGAGAACATAATTTGATAAGAAAGGGGTTAATAAAGATGTCAATTAAGGTCGATTAGTATAAAACAGTTACGTAAAGTAATTAAGACAACGGTAGTACAGCGAAAATAAAGAAGAGAGTGAGTGAGAGAACTGGAGAGACAGAGAGAGGGAGAGATAGAGTAGAGATAGAGAGAGAGAGAGAGAGAGAGAGAGAGAGAGAGAAGGCCCCCCGGGGGGGGGGGGGGGGTGGGGTGGGAGGAATGTAACCATCAGGTGCTAACCCCTCCCCAGGTCGACAAACTGCCGTGTGGAGATGTTGGGAGTTATTGAGAAGAGGGGTGTAAGTTATGCTTCCTCATATGCAAAATATCCCATTGTTTATAATAATAAAAGCATATTTCCATAAGCCTAAAATGGATAACGTTTCATATTCTAAAAACACAAAATAATTGCAAGTCATTTACACCAGTATTATTACTATCTTCTATTAAACAATTTGCCGTTAATTATAGGATGAAAGGAAATAAGGCAATAAGTAATGTATAATAGCAGAAAGCATTGTTTCGAGGAATAATAGCAGCTGATTGAAGAACAAAAATGCAGTCAAGAATAGGACAAATAAAAGACAACCGAGACAAAAAGGAGAGAAAGAGAGTAAGAAAAGTTTGGTCCCGAATTTTGAGCTGGGCGGCTGCGCAGGTGCGCCTGATCACAAGTAAATTCTCCTTCCCTTGTCTGGTCCGCGTGGCCCCACCCCCTGCAGCGCTGGTCTCTCTCGATCTAGCAGCTTCAGCGCGCTCATACCATTCTTCATTCCTCACATACTTTCGGAACGTCTGCTGGAACGCGAAAAATCTTCACTGAAAAGCATCTTTTCAGCCAGAATTCCACTCGCCACATTAAGTACCCGTGCCTTGGACACAGACATCAATTGCAATCAGGTCAGTTTGATTAATTTTAGATTTCATTACAACTTTAACAAGGTTTTGGGGAACGAGGTCTTTCTGAAATTCCTGCATCTTTGACATTTTTGTCATTTTTGCGACAGTCAGGACTTCCGGACGAGTATCGAAGTTCATTTTGTTTTGGTCGACTTCTAAATCAATTTCCTTTCAGCTTTAGCGATTAAAATTCATCCCACTTGCGAAGATGGTTTCTAATACTCCATATTCTTGCACAAGCAAGGGATGTTGTGAGATGAACGCCGTAATTCGAGGGCGATATTGGTCCAATGCTCCGCCATTCCGCAGGTAAAGTATGTATGCTTGTATTGCATTGCCGGACCGGTAGATCTGCCGTGTATTGTGGATGCGAGCTGGGTTATTGTGTAGCAACATAGTTGGCGAGACTCTGGATCCTCGTTCGGACCACAAAAGAAAACATGTCAGCTATTTGGTAGGGGGTTTTGGCAGTAGGCTTCTCGAGGTTGGCTTTGCCTTTGGTATGTGTACTGAAAGGGCACACGCTTCTCTCCAGCCGTGCACCCGGGCCAGCTGGTAGAGAATAGTTTCTTCCATATTTGGTGTCTGGCTTGTTGCATCTCGCTCGGTGCATCTCCCAGTCCGCCGACTGTTGCTATCTTTCTCAGCGCAGCGAGAATTATTTGCAGCGTGAAGAAGCAACAGTCTCTTCCTCCCGTAAAGAGCCATTTCATAGCTAAAAAATCAGATTAATTCTTTGATTACAAAAATTGGAAACAGATACGGTAGATGTGATTGAATCAACTTTAAAGAACATATTATTCGTTTCTTGTTAATGTTAAGTCTTTAGAAATGTTTTAAACTTTCAGTTGAATCAAAACAAAAAATACAAATTATCAATGTCATCTTTTTTGTTTTTAAATTTCGTCGAGTTTAAAACCATTTTGAGATGTGACAGATTTACAATTATAATTTGTACCTGTTTAAGTTGTTAACTAAACCCATTTCTCTGTCAAGAACTGGTTTTCCCGTTGTACAATCATGTTTTTATGACGCCTTTAATCCTATTATGACGGCGATCTGAAAATCTGAATAGCGTACGAGATCGGAGACAAATACCCGGAAAAGATAAGGGCGCTCATTATGCGACGGTAAACATATGGGACGGCGGCTGTATTACCGCATTGCTCCAAAGGCCAACGGGCTAGAGTAGGGGGAACTGTTGCCTACGGTGTGCACGGCAAGTTCGCGCTGAGTAAACAGCGGCCGTGCCGTGTAGTGTGCCTAGCTTCGCTGCCTGGTTTCGCAAATCCAATACAATGCCCTTTGTGGTGCAGTGATATATTCAACGGTTGTGAGGATTTAGTGTTTGCTAAGTCTCTGCACTCTCTATTGTGCTTGTGTTTATTTAGTCCTAGACGTCATGATTTTGCAGAAATTGTTATTGAAACAGATCAAGTTCATTGCACATAGACTGTTGTTATCTCTTCTCTTTTCATGTGAAAAAAACTGTTGAATTTCAAATCTTTCCCAATGCCAGGCAATTATAATCCACCCGCCAATCAATAAACTTGTGACTGTTTTTCGAGGTGTATTCAAACCGCCCTTTAGTGTCGATCTACTTTGATTTCTCATCACTTTGATATGGAACAATGGATAAATGAAAATCGTACTAGTGAAGCCTACTTGGAATGAAATATATAAAATCTTCATATCTTAAGATTTTACATTGACTTGTAAACTTGGTTCAATTTATTATTTGAAGATTTTAATCTAAATTAGAATTCTAGGTTCCAAACTTTATGTACAGTATTTTCAAGTATAGAACGAACATGCCTGATTAACTTATTGAATTTTTACTCTGAATTCTGAAGTCCCCCATATTTTTTCTTTGTGTCAATTTTTTAATATTTGTTAGGCCCTTCCAAAATTTCTTTTTTAATTGAATGTCTTGAGCTGACTAACCAAAATAAAAGAAGAAAGATTTTGTATGGCCTACATTTACATTAAATAGTCTGGGCACACAAAGAATATATACATGTACATATAAAAACTTGGATTTAAAAAAATTAAATTGTCATTTGATTTCAGTGATTTGCCAATGTATTTGACAGGTTTTCAAGACAAAATGAAAACCCTTCCCCAATTTGCTGTCAGTCTTAATTCACAGGCCTCAGAAAAAAGTTTAAAAAAAAGTAGTGCAATTAGGAAGAAGAATAAAAGAAGTTTAAGATCTATGCAAGTACCAATTTTTCATTGAAAGCTTATGAAATGAAATAAGGAACAATATGTACTGTACTTGTCTTTTGAAATGCAATATGCACAGTTAAATTTGTGTTTCAAAGCAATTACAAATGTATATTTTTATGGTCTTGAATTAAAAAAAGAAAGAAATATTGTAACAAATTTAAAGCATCATTTTAGAACTATTGTTTTGAAGAAAAGTTGGATAACCTACTCATAATATCTTTTCGTTTATACTCCGACTTTACAAGAAGCAATGTTCAGTTTGATTTTAAATCTAAATTCATAAATGATTGAGAATGTTATATAAAGTGTAATTCTTTTAAAACAAAAATGGACACCCATGTACAGTATGCAAAAAGTTGTTTTAGATATCAGTTTGCATGTTTGTTTCAATATTTTATTATACTCAGAAAAAGTACAAAATACACAAATACCTTTCAACAAGAGGGGAATTTCTTACATGATAAGTCTTCTTTTTTTCCGAATAGAAACTCAAAAGCCCAAACCATCACTCTCATGCTTGCAATTTTTTTGTACATGCAAGTCAACGATAAAATCAATGCTATCTCGGCTATTGCTTATCAAATATTCTGTTACATGCAATGTTTGTTCTACTTTCGATGAGAAACGGTTACAATACATGTCCGTCCTTTACAATTAACCCAGATAATGGAAAGACATGATAACATCTCTCAGCTCCATTTATTGCTATTCGATCTCAATTTTTTTCCTTCTCTCTCTCTCTGGTACACATACTGCATATCATAAATAGTAATAAAAAGGAAAGCCCGTATCTAAGTGTGCCGTATCATCTCTCGAGTTATTAAGTAGATAACGTGGCGTTATCTCAGTCTTCACAAACGCTGAAACAGAATCCGATAAAAATCTGGGCTCGCTGCCTTACTATCCATTATAGAGGTGTAAGTGGCGGGAAGCTAGGTAACAAGATACACGATTGGCCCGCTTCGCCAGCCCTGTTCATTTTCAGCATTCCCTGGTGGTAACCTAATGTTCAAGGATTCATGCTGGTTAATTTCTCGGGATGTATCAAATCTCATAACTTGTAACAGAGTGCATAAACCGTGATTCACTGCGAAAAAAGACACTTGTCAAATATACTGGTAGTTTTGGATACGATGAAGAAAATTTAAGTAGGTATTTTGTAAGTGTGCAGTTTTGTAAGTAGTAGAGAGAGTCTGCTCGATTGTAACTTGGTATATCACTATTTCAACCATGTATGGCAGAAAGAATATTGTATTAATTAAGGGCTGTTAGCATTGACCCACTCAGTTTTAATAGTACTTGTAAGAATAATTGCTTTTCAACCAATTTCATAGTGTTTTTTATGATAGCATTTTGCTGATCCAATGCCCCCAGAGAATAATTAGGCTTTCAAGAGTAACTACATGTAGTTTGGAATAATTTTTCTACAAATGTTGTTTTAGTATTAAATATGTAATTATGTATCAAGGACTTTGATCTGTATTAGTAATAAGATTAACAAGAAGGAATGGGAAGAGGACAGAAAAGGGGGAGAGTGATAGAAGGGGGAGGGGGGGTGGGGGGGGGGGGGGGGGGAGGGCGGCAGCAAGCCTGTGTGTAGCACCATTTATATTTTTTTTGACAAATAATTTTTTCTTTTCTTTCTATGCTTGGTAAATCTCACATTTGGAATGAAAGACCCCAATGATGTGTGGGCATTTTGAACCATTGGCTTGTGAAATTATCCCATCAATTGATACATGACCCAGCAATTCTAATCCTAGGATGAAACCAATCTGATTGGAATCTCAAAACTGTTCTAGTCATGTACTGGCAGTTATTACATAACTTTGGAAGCCTGGCAGTTTCATGAATCTTTGATCAATCAGAGGTGTGGGCCATGCACGAAAGTGGACAGCCCGGCCTGTAATTATAGTTGCATAATGGTCTAATTATGAACTCCATTTGAAAAAATGACAACCGGTATAGATGGGGTTGCCACTTTATCATTCTTCCAAAGTTCCAACATGGTAACATTTATCATTTCTAGAAATACTTTGAAGATTTATTGAAGAATAATTGTGCATTTACTTTGATTCTAGCTTCTACATGTAAGTACATTAGGGTGATAAATTAAAGAAAAAAGAAAGAAAAGAAAAATAGAACACACATCATACTATGGTAGTAACTTGCGATGCATTGATAACTGACAAATATTTTTTCATTAGAGATAGCGAGAGAGAGCAAGAACATTCCCTAGTCATCTGTGTAAATGATATGTAAATTAAATGATGTAGGTCACAATAGTAGTCGACTCCAGTCCTTAAAGTCTGTAAAAGTTTATGGGATTTAAAAGTTAAGAAATAACAAAACAAAAGAGTTTTGAAGAAAGAAAACCTTTTTTTTTGGGGGGGGGGGATGGGGGTTAAAGGATCAAGAAACTCTTGTTCTATCATCATGAATCAGAAAATAGGGAAGTAAACATACATAGTCCTTGTCCTTGTTCAAAACTTTTGGGAAAGAAAAAAAAACATGACTTGCTAAGCTTTGGCTTTCTCTTTTGTCTCCAATCTTTCCACCACCAAGCTATTTTTTCTCAGACCCCTGTAGCGGTGAAGTCATCTCGAAAAACAAAATCGGGTGGGAAAGCTTGTCGTCGCCGTTGAAGAAGAGAAAAAGTAACGGGAGAGGAATGATGGATTATGGGAGAAACATGACAATATAATAGGCTGGGGTGACTCTTGTACAACCCCTATGACTCATTGTAAACCATGATGATGTCTGGATAAAAAAAAAAAATGGGTCGCCGATGATCTGGACTTTGCTCCTTGTTGTTGACTGTTGAAACAAGTGTGTGAGACCCAAACTGAAGAGAATGGCCCTTTTTTTTTCTTTTTCTGTAGAAGTATAGTACATGTACATGTAGTCTTGGCTCTCATAGTACTCCATTTGGCCTTATAAATTGCACTTCTCCAACCCCCTCCCCTTTTTTTGCTTAAGAGTAGGCCTCCCATTGTTTGCCCTCTCTGTTGTTGTTGTTGTTTAGGCACACAATAATTAAAGATTTATATAGCGCACCTATCTGCCTATAATGACACTATTTGTATTGTCGTATCTAAGTTGAGGGCTGCGGGCATGCAAGCTACTTTGCTCATTTCTGTAGCCCTCCTGCATCTAATGTACAGTATGTTAATTATGCATTCAATATATTTGTTTAAATTCAATATATTTGTTTAAATTCAATATATTTGTTTAATATCGTTTATTATCTGTATAAAGTTATATACACTTGAAATATTGTATCAAGCCATATGTTCATGAAAATGTATGATGAAAAAAAAGAAAAAAGATGCAGAAACCAATAAATCAAATCAAATCAAAAACACAAAAAATTCAGTATTAGGCAGTCATGAATATTTATTCCAGAAGGGGATTTTATTCTTGCCTCCAGTCATCCATTGGCCCTTTAATACTACCCAGACCTCCTCCTTTACTGAGGAGAGTTCCCCCTATTTACCCCCCCCCCCCCTCCAGAAGAATCCTTTGTTGCCAACAGTATACTAGTTGGCCTTTACACTTTTTGGAACCCCGGCCCATATATATCCATTCAAAATGATTATCACAAAAGAAGAGAAGAAAAGAAATACATACATGTATTAGATAGAAATGTACCACTTTTGTTGATGTACTCTATTTGTCATTCTGTGATTAAATGAATTATATGTATCAATATTTTATAGAATTGTTGTGAGATATTGCAGCCATAGAAACTTTAGTATAAAAAATGAATTCATGCAGTACGTTAATCTATTTTCTATGCCAACGAAACCGAAACTTTAATTTTAACCGTCATCGAACAACTAATTTTCCTCTTCTCCAGGATGTTTACTAGTCGGTTTCAGCCCAAACTATTTCTATTTATCGGCGGCTTTTATCTCCGTGGTGGACTTTTTGGTGATTCATTAAAATTGCCCAAGTGCAAAGTTCTTTCATTATTTGCGCGGGAATCACAGGCGTATTGTACTCTTTTGTACAGCAAAGTTGACTTTGAACACTATGTAAATTTGTCCAGAGCTCAATAGTAGTATTTAAAGGGTGAAATCAAACACACATCCTCGAAAGGAGTAGATTTTGTTGCTACCCTGTTGGTTTCTATGCAGTAAGTTCATAATTTCTCTGTGTTTTTAAGTTATTTTTTTAATCACCACCTTTTTACCCCAAAAAGAAAACAAAAACTGAATGATTGATTGTCATATTTTTTTTGCAAACCCTACTCAAAGCAGAACTCTGTAGTCTGCATACAAACAATGAGAAACCGTTAAAATAAAAACAAACAACAAACACAATACATGTAGTTGTAAAAGCTCTTGTGAATGAATCTGTAGGCATTGATATACAGATATTAACAGCTGCACTATTCTTATTCCTCGTTAATTTGATGTTTTTTGTCTTTTTTTATAACTCTAGAATGAAAGGTGGACTGGTCTAATTACAGCCATTGTCCCCCCCCCCCAATTTAAGTGTTAACGGTAAACATTTTTGTTAACACCAGTTAAGCTTTACAGCATTTATCATGATCATCTACAACTGTATAGCACATCTTCTCTGTATTGGCGTGAAATCATGGGCAGCGAAATCAAACGGCTCACCTTGCGATCCCAACCAGGATCCTTTGTACTGTTTATAAATCTGTAGTCTAGTATGACCCTCGGAATAATGGCAAATTGGCAATTGGCCCCGTTTTTATAAATCATTTTGATTGCTCTTTACAGCCCATTACCTCTGCATATAGAATAAATCTATTGTTCTCATGGCTATAAACCCTAGCACAAAATATTACAAGCATATTAGGGCAGGTCCAAGCTATTTGCTTTGTGACGTACAGGACATTCAGAGACTTTAAACAAGAAATAACAATGGATGTCATTATTTATATGACTATCTTTTGGTATGAGTCTGTGGCTATTATGGGCTAGTTCATTTGTGAAAAGTTTTAGTTCTGACCAATTCATAAATTAATTTTTAATGTAATTAATGTGCTGCGTGACGTACGGGACCAGAGAATTTCTGACTTTTTCAAAAATAAGTTCATCATAAAAGTTCTCTGAATTTATCAAGTTATGAGATTTATGGTAATGATATCTTAATTCATTATGGGATCAAGCATTAATCACAACTATTACCATATTTTTCTGACCTTTTGTTATTATGTAATATACCAAAACATAAATGTGTGCACGTGACGTACGGGACACGTGACGTACGGGACAACTTTTCCCTATGGGAAAATGCATTGAAATGGAGAATTTTCGTCAAAATTTGTTAAATGTGAACAATTTTAACTTAAATCAGTGACAATTAGAGTGTTTTAGAACCCAATTAGATCCTCTGACCATTACTTAATATTATCTGTGTTAATTTATGAGGTAAATCAATACAAATATTACTTTAACAAAGAAAACAAATTTAATTAATATTCATACACACTATATTATACCATTTTTATTCCATTTACCCATCTATCATGTGCAGTCATGCTTCTTTTCTTATTTATTTTATCCATTCCATTCAACATTGCAAAATGTTTTTAAACAATAATTAATGAAGAAGATGAACTTGAACTTGAAAACTTTTATTTAAACTTGTTTGAAACACAGGGGCACACTTGGCACATCATATTTTGTCAAAGAACATTTCTTATGTTCCAAGTGTTTGTGAACAAAGACACATTAAAAATATGAAGTCTTTTCTTCATAGCTTGTTTGAATTATTTGATAGTAATATCATAGAATTTTGAAGGAATTCAAAGATAATGCTGGACATATTGTCTTTTTTATATCCTTTTATCACAGATTAGAACATGTATATGTTGCTGTCATATATTCAAGAATTTTGACGTACATTAATGTAGCCTACATGTTTGTGAAAGATGGATACAAAAATATAAATCTTGAATGTATTTCGTATTGATTAAAACATCTTATTAACACCACCAGATATAAGAAATTAAAACCCTAAACGTTTGTGTGACCTTTTCCACAATTCAAAAGATTAATTTAAAGCAAACTCAACAAAAATGCATGGGTGTAAAAGTGATAAAAATCTTAAAGGTAAAGACCAGTAATGGTCATGCGATTGCATTGTGAAAGAAACGTTGTGGAATCGATCAGAAAAGGTTGATCATCTAGCATCTAGCATCTGCAAGGTTCTGGAATCATCAAAATGATAAGAAATTTGGCCCATTCTTCGTAAAGTTACAAGCACTATACACAGAAAGATGTATATGGGACTACCCTATCTCTCTCACACGACCATGAGAGAAATAAATTTACCAAATATATGAATTAGTAGGCGGTTTCCCGGCAAATTTTTTATCATCATGTATTAGTCAAAACATATTCTTTCACATGATTGGTAATGAGAGCTTCCATTTCATTTTTTGAAATTGGGGCGTTACCAATACTGGTCTTTACCTTTAAGTGGGTGAGAGTGTGAAATACTCAAAAAGGCTATCCTTCCTTAAAAGTTATGATTTAGTTTTTAGGAGATCAGAATTCCCGAGCTGGCTCCATAACATGTACAGTGCATGCTGTAATCCTTTATCATCATATATGACATTTAAATAGAATATAAAAAAACCTCACATGGAGAGCTTGATAGCATACATGTGCTATTCTTACCTGCAGCACCTATGAGTTGTAAAAGCCAGCTTCTGGTGCATCCACTACCATATAATTTCATTAGACTCATTCCTGGAACGTAGTACACTATTATGATTTACATATTTAGCATCCTGTCAATGTTGGAGACATCAACTGGCAAAATACCAAAGTTGATAATACCAGGGGTCTGGCTTGAAGACTAATTACATTAACAACAATTACATAAAACAACAACAAAAGTACAAACAAGTAAATTCCTAGAAGGGACCCAGTTGGAATGTTCATATATCCCTGTATACAACAAGTTTCCTAACACAGTATATATTCTCCTTTTGGTCATTTCCTTTTTCCAATCTCGCATTGGTTTTGTATGGGGTTGTCCCGTACGTCACACACTTGTCCCGTACGTCACATTTCTTAATTTGATTATGTAATCAACACAGAATTTTCGAAATTTTTGTTAAACCTATTTTTTGTTTGGTATTCATCTAAATTAGAACTTCCTAGAATATCTTTAAAAAAAAAAAATATTTTCATAATTAAAATTAAACAAATTATGATCAAATTGTGACGTACGGGACATCACACTTTGGAACCTACCTCATTTGCATAATTAATTAATTTTGAAAGTTTTTATATTTTTTTCCTATTTTCTAGCATGATGGTCATCATGTCCTGAGATATTTAATTTTAAACAAATAATTCAAATGAGATACAAAAATTAAAATGTAATGTCCCGTACGTCACGCTAATTAATACAAATCGAAGTTCGTGACCTTGGCACTCTTCGTATTTTGATAATTTTTTTAATTTTTTATCAGATTCATAAAATTCATAGTTTCAGCTTTAAAATGAGGTATAGTTTGTTAAATATATATAAAGATGACATTTGACCCCCAGAGGGGACAATAGCTTGGACCTGCCCATTAATGTAATCGCATTTGAATTGTTGCTGGTGTTTTGAAAGGTTCACTTTTACTGTCATCTTCATTATTCATCTCATGCTCATCTGTTTGATTTTAATTGATTAATTTTCAGTAATTTGTTTGAGATGCAATTTTGCTGCCTACATGTACAGGGGGTGTACATGTCATTTTATTAATTCATTGATGGCTTTTAATCCAGGAGTCATCCCATTTGCCCTCATTTATTTTCAAGTAGGGACTCTTTCCATTTATACAATTGGCAATCACCATAAAACCATATACCTAAAGTACATGTACCTACTGTAGATTAGAAACTCAGATTTTGCTTACATGTACATACAATGCAGATTTATCACAATAGAAATGGTATAATAGCAAGGGATTTTGGACTTAATTGATTTCCTTCTTTCTCAAAAACTGCATTATCCACAAAATTGTTTAGAATGGAAGTTTTATTGATCATCATCTTCATTCACATGTATACATGTATGTACAGATCCTTGTTTTCATGAACTAAGGAAAACTCATGTTTGTGAATTGTTTCAATTTTATTCCCATTCTTAAGTTGAAAAAAAATCCATCCAAAGAGGTATCTCTTTGATCTAACCAAGGAATATATGTCTGCCAAACTAATATAATGAAAATGCAATATTGTAGAAAGGTGTGGTATACGATATGTACATGATGGACAGTAATGACACACCATTACACTGTAGAGGAGGGGTATTTCCCCCTATCTTTGTATTGTTACATCATAGCATTCACTCAGCTGCCCCTAAGCCACATTGTACCATCTTCTTTCTTTATGTGACATGGCATTGTTCAGCAGGCCCAAATCTTCTCTGGTCAGCTTCCTTCAATCCGCACAATGAGATACGTTTTAATCTCTATTGTGAACTCAGTACTGAGGCAGGGTAAACGGCTGGCATTGTACACCTATAGATATATTGATATCAGTCTTGCATGAACTGTATAATGTACATGTACATGTATGAAGTCATGCCTTAGAGATGCATGCTCTTTCAGGTTTAATCCATAGATGATATTAGGTGTTGATACCAGTTCAAATATGGGAGCTACATGAACTATTTGTGTAGTCTGTTAAACAATAACATACTGGACAAAATACCTCAGATTAACCTATATTTTTCATCTATACATATCAACAAATTGTATACTACTGCTACTGAAGAAGAAGGTATTCATTGTTTACTTTAGCATTTCTCATACATCTTATGTTAAAGCCCCACTGGACTACTCATAGCTGCTTGCGCCCTCTAATGTAGCAAACAATGCCTAATCATTGCCTGTTGGTTTCCCATGATCCCCTTTGTCTCATGTTAATTGTGAGCTGATTTGATGAGAAAACCACCTGTCAGTGACCTTGCAGGGAGGTCTAATCCCCCTGGCCAAAGTAGCGCAGACAGGCTGTAAGGAACGTTGATTTTTTTCTCTAGAAAGAGATGCATCGGCAATAGACACAAAACAAGTACAAAAGAGACGGCTACATTTAGCTCGCTCTGCTTAGAAGTCAATGTTTTTGTTGGTACTGGGTAGTACAACAGCCACCGCGGGACATCCCTAGTTCTGAACAACAGGGGGCAGTGCAACCTTGCAGACCCTGCTCACTCGCTAACAAGGCCTGATCTCTTCTGGGGAGAATTCTTCCCGTCTTATAGCCCGTTCAGACAGAGGGAAGTTCATACGAAACTCGTTTAAAGAAATGCTGAATAAAGAAACTAGTTTTGAGAAGGTCAGCTGACATGATTGGTTCGTGCGCGCTCATGATAAGCCCCGCCTAGTATATGTTTTTTTTAACAATGCGATTTTCAGACTAGAATCGACCCTGATTCTTGAGTGAGTTTTCATTTGGAGCAATGCTTAAAGATAAAGACCAGTTCTGGTCATGCGATTGCATTGTGAAAGAAACATTGTGGAATCGATCAGAAAAGGTTGATCATCTAGCATATAAGTATTGGTGTGTACTGCAAGGTTCTGGAATCATCAAAATGATAAGAAATTTGGCCCAGTCTTGGTAAAGTTACAAGCACTGTACACAGAAAGATGGGACTACGCACACGTGCGCGACCTGGTGTATTATCTATTTGGTCCCAATAGATAAACTAATTTACCAAATACATGTATATCAATTAGTTGGCGGTTTCCCGGCAAAATTTTTATCATCATGTATTAGTCAAAACATATTCTTTCACATGATTGGTAATAAGAGCTTCCATTTCATTTTTTGAGAGGGGGGCGTTTCCAAAACTGATCTTTACCTTTAAACATACATGTATGTTATACAACTTTTTGTTAAAATGTAACGGTTCAAAATACGTTCGGACTAGAAAACTATAGCTACTTCTCTGATCTTGCTGTATGATTTTCATACAGCTACATGTATACAGTGATTTTCTGTGGTCTGAATGGGGGTAGGTAGCTTGCTTTGACGAGTACCAACAGATTCCTAATCAAATTTGTAGGTGAATTAGGAGGGCCACTTCATCCCAATTGATAGTTTCCCTTCAGCTTTTGACGTCTTGCACGAGAACAGGTCTATTTGGCTTAACCAGGGCCTAACATTAACTGCTGGTCCGTGGGGGAAGTTTTAAGATCTGAATCCAAGCTAATCCAAGCTGCTTTTCATTTCATTTCATTTCGTTTATTTATTTCTCGTCAAAATAAAAACTAAATATATCATCTTCAATACAAACATATGAATGTATAGTTACATATATCTGAAGTTGGAGGACCATGACAAGCGCGTAAATGGCTCGTTAAAAATGATTCTCACCAAACATACAAAGTAACAGTAACTCTCATACATAATTTACATAAAATCAAGATTACCTCAAAGGGAAAGTAAAGAAAATAGAGAAAAGAAGGAGGAATCATTGCATAAGCATTGACATTATAAATAATAGGATTTTTCAAAAAGAAATTGCTTTATACTGGGGTAGTTATTTAAATTGGTTGATTATCTTGCTATTCATAATAGGAATATTTTTAATTAAATATAGAATTGATTCTTGGTCATGGGCTTGCATTTCCAAAGAAGCGGTCTAGAAGCTACTGTAAAAGCTTAAATTCGCTGACACCAGACTTGGTAGAAATGCCATTAATGGATTACAAGTCTTGCACAAAGCGAACCAGTGCTCCCATCATGTAGACTACATGACGTATCTTTACGCGCTCACGTAGAATAACGCTCCCACAGAACCAAACTCCGACTTGGGTTCTGTGTACAGTGTTTTTTACGCGTACATGTGTTTGTTCTTTTTGAAAACAAAATATCCAAGTCATTCACACTTGTTGCAATAACTAAACATAAATATGTAGATATAATCGGCAAACCAAAATACTGAAAGCAATATGCCAGGAAGCTTAATATGATACCTTGAAAAGTGTAATCATGCACGATTCGTGACTTGTCAGAATTGTTTCCCAGACGATGAAGTGTGACCAGTCTAATAAATTCTATTTACAAAATATGTATCTTGTCTAGCAATCACAGGTGCAAAAAGGGACCGTTTTCCTGAGAGACTGTTACCAGATATGTTTATATGTTGAATAAAATTTGTGTCTTGTACGGGGAGAAAATGATGCATTTACCAAGTAATGGATGGTGGCGATAGGGCCCATGTAGGGTTGTCTTGTCTGAGTGATTCGAAACGCGATATCTTCCCATTTCCACGAAGACGCTCGGTGCATATGTTGATGTTTAGGTGAGGGCAGGTCCATATTTGGACATCTCCAACACTTTTGCAAAGTCCCATGGAGCGCCTGGAAACTTGGGGAGGCTTGGAGTGAAGGCTAGATTGGATGATGACAGAGACAGATAGGGAAGAATTGCAGAGAAGACAAAGAGATAGAGAGAGAGAGAGAGAGAGAGAGAGAGAGAGAGAAGGAAAGAGAGAGATCTACATAGAGATGAAGGTAGAGATAGAGATAGAGAGCGAGAGAGAGATAGAGAGCGAGAGAGAGAGAGAGAGAGAGAGAGAGAAAGAGAGAGATAAAGACAAACAGAAAGATATAAAATGAGAGATAGTGAGAGATAGAGAGAGAGATACAGAGAGATACAGAGAGATAGAGCAGAGAGAGAGGGAGGGAGAGAGAAATGACAGAAGTTCCAAGAGATAGAGAAGATGTACAGTACAT